TTGCTCATCAAGTGGGTTACTAGCAGAACAACTGTGATGTGAAAGTGGGGATAGGGACGTGCTGAACCTGGGACATACGAGGGTGGCAGCTTGAAAGCGCTGCTCGACCCAGCCTGCTCAGCCATACTCTATTCCAGTGCAGTGCCCATGACATATGAGGGTGACAGCTTGGAAGTGCTGTTCAACCCACCTGCTGAGTCCAGGGACATATAAGGGGTCAGCTTGGGAGTGCTGATTAACCCGGTCCTCTCAGATGCGCTCTGTTAATGTGTGTTCATCCGATTCTGGGGCTGGAAGAACCTAGCCCTGGGGAACCTAGGTCCTGCAGGAGAGCTCCATTGGGAGGGAACTTGCAGAAGGGAGAAATAGAGCTCCGTATGAGAACACAAGTGACACAAGCAGTACATTAATAGAATTACAGAACACCCCCCCGCCACCCCCAGAAGAGTAAACCCAATGAATGAGCGTACCTCAAAGTAATGGGCAAATCTGGTAACAGAAGTTATTCTGCCCCAACACTGCTGAAGATAAGCACATAAACTGGTATAATCACCCTGAAAGCCAGTGTGGTACAGAGCCTAGGACTGGAGTTTGACCTGGATTCTGGGGCTGCAGTGAGTGACCTGTTTCTGTTAACTTATTTAAAGCCTGGGGGGAGGGGTGTTCAGCAGCTGTTCCCTAACCATCTTCTAGGTTGAAGTTCATGTATTAGTTAATCATAAGGGTAGGGTAGGGAATGGCAATTTCTACAGCACCAGAACAGGGGAGATTTGAATTCCTGCGCTCTTGTTTCCTAGCTCAGGGAGCTTTCTCCTACATTCCAGGGGTATTTGGTGAGGGAGTCAGAGCGCATCACTCATTTTTTTAGTTTTTCTCAGAAGTAAGTGACTAGAGATCGGCTATGGCATTAATGCTACCGAACTACAATCTGGAGGATTTGCTTTGTGGCAAAAACTTGTTGTTACTATTAAAAAGTTATCTGTGTTTTATAGGCAAACATTCCTGATGCATAACTGATATTCTAGGAACCAGCATACGGGGAGCAACAACGTGGCCAAAGGAGAGGGCCCAGAGTGCTTTAGATTTCTTGAAAAAGGGGTACCAAGACACAGGAGACAATCCAGTGAAAAAACCGCCCAAATGGGTGACTTTTACAGGTTTGTTACCATCAGTTCGTTTTTCCTCGAACCACCATGAAAAATTCAGATTGTGCTCAAAGCTTCGATTCCATGGCTTAGTTTTTGCCATTTCAATGAGACTTTCACAAAACAAAGATTTAAAGCACCTGTTAAAACTCAGCTCTATAACACAACTTATAACTACAGTGATGTTACCTCTGCATCGTACGCTCTTCAAGGCAGGGATTGAGACTTACTGTATGTGTATACTGTGTGGTTCTGATCTCAGGTGGGGTCTCTAGGCATTACCGTAAGAAAAGCGTCCAAAATAAATCTTGTAAATAATAAACTTAATTCATCCTGGCATGAAACTTCTGAACCGAGACCTAGACCAAAAACTCAAACTCAGCTGTACAATGGAGGGAGGAAAGGGGCAATACATGATCACAATTAAAATTTGAGAGAAAATCCCAAAGAAATGTACAAAGCTAAAAAGAGCACAGCTAGCAATAGCTAATGAAAGTAGCTCACCCAGCAAGCTTTTCCCCAGTACTCCTTTGTCATTTCAGGAACAAAATACACTTGGGGCACTCAATGGGTAAACCAACAGGAATCACTACGGAAGCACTGAGCAGTAAAGCCTCTGGAAGCGTCTCTGAAAATATCCATCAATCGCAGCAAGCAGAGTTTGCAACAAAATGGAAAACTTCTATTTGGCCAGTGGCCTTTGATTTAAAAGCCAAACTTGGGGCCTGACCCTGCACGGTGCTGGGCACTTCACCGAAGTGCTGTGTGTCTTCAGCTGGAGCGAGGGCTCAATTCAGCAAAGCAATTAAGCACAGGCTTAAAGAGTCAGCGACTGAAAGCATGTGCCAGAAGTCAAGCACCTACTTCAGCATTTATTGAATAGGAAGGGATTTATGCACTCCTTACATGGTTTGCTCAATTGGGGCCTATGCACCTGGCTTCAGGCTTCATGAACAGCTGCACAGGGCAGCTGGAAGACACAGTGATGACCAACGATTTCTTCTCGTGCCTGCTTTCCATCCCCACCAGCAGTTTTTTAAAAAAACTAACAAATAAATCCAGCTAGCATTTTATAGCCAATAGCTAAGTAATTGCAGAGCAAAAAATGGCTTCCCGACAGAGCCCCTATTTAATCATTGCAATAGCCATGGAAAAATGTGTGTACTTAAAGGGCCAGATCCTCAGCTGGTGTAAATCTGTGTAGCTCCACTGACTTTAATGGAGCTATGCCAATTCACCACACCTGTGGAGCTGGCTCATATCATGCAGTTCATTAGAGTACCTCAGAACAATTTACAGTATTATTCCTGTTTCATAGGTGGGGAAACTGAGGCACAGAGTGGCTGTGGCCAATGTTTTCAAAATTGGGTGTCTAAAGTTAAGCCCCTAAATCCATATACAAGCTCTCTAATGAGCAGCCTGAATTTCAGAGTAAATTAAGTAAAATGTGGGTGCTCAGCTGGAGACCCTCAGCATCTCACAGGACTGAGCCCTTTATGAGAAAGCATTATATTTTCATACAACCTGCAAACAAGCTGAATGAAGCTGACCAGTCTTCCCATGCCTCCAGGTATAAGTGGTTAACTGAGATCACAGAACACTAGCATGATTATGGTAGCTCAAGATCTGAGCCATTAGCTGCTTGAATAGTTCTTATTGTAATTGCGTGACAATTGTCAGAATTACCCTCCTCCCATATATAGTAAGTTAGGGTACCCAAAAAAGGCCAGAAGATCAAATGCACCTCACAGGCCCTAAAGTACAGCTAATAGCTGATCAAATCTCAGCTATTATTGCTGGTGACCTTCAAACAAGTAACTTTGATTCATCTGTCAAAGAAAGGACCAGTACAAGCAATGTTACAGTGGGCTTGTAAGGATAAGGCCTATAGCCATATTGTAAGGCCTAAGGCCTTCGTCTGCAGCCAAGTTAAAAGAGCAGCAGCCATTAGCTGAGAAGCAGGAAGTTACATCCTCACATTCCATCTAAATTACATTAAAACAATGTAATATCAGGCCGTTAAGAAGGAGACCCTGTCCTAATAGCACCCACTATCACCAGATAAAGAAACAGATCTTAAGATAGTTAAAGAAAACTTAGTTTGATAGCATTCTGCCTGGCAAGAAACCACTTATCAATAGTTGCGGTTGTGAAATCCTCATTTCTTTATTGTTTTGTCATTATGGTCCCCAATTCCCTATTGTTTGTCTGTATGATCTCTGTCTGGTTCTTTGATTGTTTCGGTCTGTTAAATAATTAATTTTGCTAGGTGTAAATTAATGAAGGTGCTGGGGTATGATTGGTTAGAGAATTTTGTTAGGATTGGTTAGTAAAATGATTGGTTAAGGTATAGCTAAGCAGGACTCATGTTTCACTGTATAAACCGGGGTCCAAAAGGCAGTTCTTTATGAACCAACTCCAGGACACAGCCCCATCAGAGCTGCCAGACCTCAACACTCTGCCAATGACACCATGCAGACACTGAAGTCCCCCAGATGGACCTGATCCCAAATGGCCAGCAGGGAAAAGTTCACCTGTCTTATTGGGCGTGGTGAGCATTGTATGTGTAGCGTGTGCATTCTGTTTTTAGTGATTATTAATAAATAGAGGATAAAGATCTTACTGTGTAAGGCTCTTTCACCAGTAAAAGGTCCTGCATACCTGCAGAAAATTACGCCCTGAGCCCTAGGAATTGAGTAAGGGTGGGTGCCCTAGAGCATAAGGTTATGCCTGAGCTCACAGAAGGGTAAGAGAGGATGCCTAAATTAAGAGGGTTACGCCTTGAGCCCTAGGAACTGGGTAAAGGTGGATGCCCCTAGAGTGTGTGAGTAACAGAGAATTTTGTCTGGGTAACAGGCTGAGTTCACACTTCTCATTAGTGATGTAAATTTATTTGCAAATAAGATGCAGCCCATTGCTCCCAGAAAGTTGACATCAGTCACAAAGTGAGGGAACTCTGCTCTTAGCTGTGTTCTTCAAACCTCTCTACAGGTTGATTTTGTTCTCCATCAATGAAGTTCCTCTCAGACTTTATGAAAAGCCCTTTCAGGCAGGTAATGATGAGAAAAATCTAAGTGCTTCCAGCTTTTATTAAAAAAAGATAGAGATAAATGGGTAAATAAAGGAAATGACTCACATTAGAACCCATCATTGCCAAGGGGTTACAGGAATATCTTGATACTGGTACATTCTGATTCACCAAAGACCGTCAAGTGAGGCCTTAAATGAAAACCAGGGTCACACTGGTTGTTAATACCATTGTGAAATGTACGTATATAGATACTAAAAGGAGTTCCATGGACGTATACTGAAAATATGTTTTTAGTTTCTGTATCACAGCAGAGGTGGAGAAACAGGTTTCCTGTCAGATTGTTTATTCACCTGTCTCTCTGTCAGATGAAAGCTAGCACAAGGGACATCCATTTACATATGAACATACGGAAGGAACGTGAAGTCAACAGGGCAGCACCACACAGGAAAACAAACAATGGGGAAGCTGGGGGGGTTATACTGTCTGAGGCAATAAACAGGGAGATAGGATATAAGTAGGAAGCAAGGAAGACTTCCATCATAATGACCCAGACTGGACCTTCTCAATCGATTCCAGATTTCCAGAACTGCCATCAGTCTCAATTGCAAGCTGTACTCGGGCCAGGCATTTATGATTAGTCACAGTGAAGTACAGGAGAGAAAAAGCCTGGGTCAGATCGTTAGCTGATGACTTCAACAGAGCTCTGTCACTTTACACCAGCTGAGGATCTGTATACATGTGTCCAGGAAAAGAATTAGACTATCTCAGAGCCTCAGGAATGTAAGAGAACCAAACCAATCTGCAGGCAGGCAGATGCCACTTACCCACTTAGAGGTCTTGTTTTCCTAATTTCAAAGAACTGAGTTCCTGTGTGATTGTATCTGGATTTTGTCATTTAAAGTAAAGTAACTTTAAGAAAGAGTCAGATAACAAAACAACAAAGCTCACCAAGGTGATGGAAAGTCTCTTTTCACTCTCAAATTGTAATTTCCGCTGGAAGCATAAAGCAGGTACTAAAAAGCCACCGACTCTCATGGCAGAAATTAAATCCTGTATATGTGAAATAAAACTTAATTCTATTTTCTCAACTGTGAAGAAATGCAAGTGAAAGAAGTTGTTAAATCTGATCCAAATATCAAATGCTTCAAGAAATAATTATTAATTTTCTGGCCAGCTCAGACCCTTCTCCTGTTAGTATGGGGGGGGAGGAAAGACTCATAATGGGAAGAATCACAATGGAAAAGAGAAATACAGTTTATAAATCTATCAACAGTCTACCTCATTCATTGTTTAAGAATGCTCATAACCGCGGCCCTTCATGCAAAAAGAATCATGCTATTCATGTAGGTTTCCCTATAGGCAACATGTGGCTGATAATTTCCACATATAAACAGATGTAAGTCCTTCTCTGTGACAGCAAGACAATGAGAACATCTGTTAACAATATGCGGTGGGGAATGAGCCACAAGCACACATCGCACTAGTGGAAAAACAAAATGTCATGACCATTTAACTGAACGTAGCCCTGACTCTCGGCACCAGTGGTGTGAATTTTCAGAACAACTGAGCACCCGCAGCTCCCACTGACTTCAGCTGGAGTTGTGGATGCGGAGCACTGATGAAAATCAGGCCCTACAGACAAAACAGAGCCTGAGCTCTGAGGTGTGTTGCCCTTACTCAGAGCATTCTGAGTAAAACAGAGTGGCATGATAGCCCTCAGTGAGAAACCAAAACCCTGCATTTGAAACCCAGCAGACTTTGAAGCCTGTTTCGATCTGGATCCAAACTTTGAGTTCTCAAGGCCATCTCTAGCACCTACCAAGCAGAGTGGTGTCTACTTTTGAAAAATTAAAAATCCCACATATGCATTTCATAGTGTGACAGAGCCTCCTTCCTGTCTGCATCATGCCGTTCCGCCCTTTAATGCGCATTAGCAGAGCTCACTGTGTCTGAGTAGCAATCATGCACCAACAAGTAAAGAAATTCCATGTCCAAACCTAGCCTAATATATGTGTTCTCTAAACAACAGGTTAGCCATGCCTCTCCCTTTCGGGTTCAGCTGCTGCTGTATCTTCTGCTGGTGCTTTGATCTTTATTGCTGCTCTGTCTGGCCTACCAAACCTCCTGCTATTTTTAGATACTCTTCCAACTGTCTGTTTTTCCTCCAAATGCTCACCAGCCCCTCATGCACCTTTGTTTCTACCTCCACTGCCTTTCTGCCAAATAAAGATCAAAAAGTTACAAGAGGAGAGAAATAACTGGCAAATGGAGCAAGATGAAAGAAGCTAATTCAATATTGACTCCTGAGGGCATTCTGCACCAAAAAATTAAAAATTCTGTGCACAATATTTTAAAATTCTGCACATTTTATTTGTCAAATAAATGTGGAGGCTCATTGGGGAGCACAGGCCACTGGCTGCACAGAGATGGGAGACGACTGTGAAGCCCCCCCCAGGCCTCCCACCAGGATATGGACTCAGCGGTGAGGCTGCACCCAACCCTAACACAGCGCAAGGACTGGACCTACCCCAGAAACACCCAAAGGCCCTACCCCTCCATGCCAGGTGCAGCAGGTGTGGGAAGGCAGGCTCAGCAATGCAGGATCCAAGTGTGGAGGGCTTGGTGTGGGGGCATCCAGATGTGGGTTGAAAGGGCTCTGTGTGGGAGGTCCAGATGCTGGGGGAGTGAGGTTCTGGGGTGGGGATCCAAGTGCAGCTGGTTGGGGTTTGGTAGGGTGGCAATCTGGGTGTGGGTGGCTCGTCGAGGTGGTCTAAGTGCAGGGGGAGTGGGGCTCATTGGGGGGGGTTCTAGATGTGGGGGCATGAGGCTCGGCGGGAGGGTCTAGTATGAGGGGGTCTGGATGCATGGAGGTTGGGCAGATGGGGGAGCAGCTCCCTGTACCGGGATCTCTCCCCTTGCAGCTGAGGAGCGATGAGTGCAGGAAGCACAGAGGGGTGGGAGCAGTTTGCAGAGCTCCCTACAGCTGGGGCAGATATCTGGGGATGGGTCTGACATGGCCCCAGATGCCGTGCAGGGGAACAGGGAGTCCCGTCCTCCCCTGCCTATCCAGGACTAACAGCTGAGCCTGGCGCAGGTTAGGAGCCACCAGCCGGGTCTTCTCCAGTCCCGCCCCCTGCCCCACAGTGATTTACCTCTGCTGGCTGCCCTGAGCACCCAAAACATACTGCTGGGAAGGGTCGCATGACCGCTCTTGTGGCTTCCCTTTGCTTCCTGTCAGAAAGTTAATTTTCTGCGAGGAAGCAAAGGAATCTGCGGGGGACAAATTCTGTGCATGCACAGTGGCACAGAATTCCCCCAGGAGTAAATATTCTGGCCAGTGACTGCTCATTCCATCATGCTGCCTATGTGCTGTGGAAACACAATCAATGTTCCGCGGTGGGGAGAGAAGGGGAAGAAATGCATGTCAGGTTCTGATTAAATCCACAAAAGGCAAGAAACTGAGACGTGGCCCTCCCCTAAGCATCAAGCACTACTCTAGGGCACGCTCACAAACGTGCAGGCCTCATTAGGGGGGTTGGTTTGGAGAGGTCAGGACCAGGTCTCTATTGCCGTTCCTGCACTTTGCTTCAGGGTGGGGAGAGCAGCAGCAAAAGTCCCCAAGCACTAATGCAGCAGGGGACTCCATCTGTGTGTTTTGCTTGAGCAGTGGCTCAAGTTGAGGGGAGAAGGAGGCCTCTTGCATGCCCCTCTGGAGTCCACCCCCAGGTAGCTGAGCAAGTGCAGCCCACCTCCTGGCCCGGGGGCAGCCGAATCCCTCCCTCAGCGAAAAGCATGAGCTGTGGCTGAGAAGGTGAGGGTCGGATTCAGCCTGGAGGGGAAAACACTGTAATTACAGGCTGCAGGTAGGTTGGGAAAGGGGTGGACACTGGCAATGCCAACTGAAAGTGAGCTATCAGGAGAGGCTGGAATATATTTCTCCAGGCACCGTGAATGTTGATCATTTTGAAATTGGCTTATGAGGTTCTTCTGAACATTCCTATTCATCTAGAGAGTTGGCACTTCAGTTAAATTCTGCTCAGTGTCACTTAGGGCTAATTGTGTGGCCCTGAAGACCAGAATGAGGAGCTCAACGCTTTGGTCCCTCACAAAGTTGGCAGAGTGGGAGTTTTTGCCCTCCTGAATTATCCTCTGCCTTTGCGGCAGCCTCGTGTTTCAGTAAGTTACCCCGTGGGTTCAGTGCAGAGTGTAATGACTCTGCTGCCCAACTCAAGAAGGATACTGCAGCATCTTCATGTAATTCTGTATTGCTTGAAGCCATTCTGGGATAGACATGGAGAGCCTGTAGTTTGGCACTGGTGGCACTGAAGGCTGAAAACAAAGAAGGATAAAAAGATGACATAGGTTATTGCTTCCAGGACAGCAGCTAGAACAATTTGGCTCTCAAGGCAGGTGCTTAAAGGGATACAATTCAGATTTAAGGGCCTGATAGTGCAAACCCCATATGAAAGCAATCAGCCCCATGTAAATAGTGCAGATTCTGAGCTCAGTTACAACAATGTGAACTATCCGTTCATTGGAGTTACCCTGCATCTACTCTGGTGGGACCACTGGCATGAGGAAGGGGCAGCCTTTAAATATCATCCTAGACTGAGAGATCCTGGCACAGAAACCAACAGCGTTTGCATTTTAAAACTAGAAAAACCAATTTTGCTCAGATTAATGGATTTCCAGTGCTGGATTTGTTCCAGACTCTTCAGAGTATTAACTTCAATTTTAATCTCTGGTTTTATCCATCTTGAGAGAGAGAGAGAGCTGAACAGAGACAAAGAGCAACTTTGACAATACACATTTTCCCATCTGCTGGTGGTCAGGGCTCATTAACAGAGTGCAGCACTGGACCCTAAGTCTGCTGGCAGGGCCAAAGCTCAAGGATTCATCAGGCCACCCCGGCTCAGCTTTTGCCATACTGTCCTGCCACATCATAATGGTCATGGGAGGCGGAGAGGGGGCTGCCCTCACCTGTGACTAATTAGCTGCCTCCTTGCTGCGGCTGTGGGGCTAGGGCTCAGGTGACAGCTTGAAGATCAGTTGGGGCCAGATTTTGGAAGTCAATGGGAGTGAGGAGCTTTTTGTAAATTCCACTAGGCACCTAAATACCTTTAAAAATCTGCCCTCCAGTTCATGAGAGAATCTCAGGCAGACAGCCTGTGCAGTGCAATCCTGTAAGCGCTGGGTTGGGTTAAAGGGCAAAATTGATATGTTCAGATTATGTTAACTAGTTTTTATTTTGAAGAAATAACTGAAGCCATGAAGAAAGGGACTGGCACCCTGTGGCTGGAGAGTGTTCTTTGGTCCGCAGGCTGGTCAGAGAGCTCACTAGTTTACAATAACCTTTGAGGTGCCAATTGTTCTCAACCCAGTTAGTTTTCAGTGGGACTTTGGGACATGCAGTGGCTCACAAGAAGGACTCAGCCATTCACCGGTTCAAGCCTTTTCGGATAGGACCATCTTCAAGGTCAGTTCTAGCTCCATGCCCACTTAAAGCCAATTTCACCAAATCAAACAAAGAATTTTGTATCACTGCCTTGAGGAGACGCACCTCAGTCTCTGCCCCTCACTGCCAGTCTAGAACCTCCCCAGGATATTCACTAAAGCTGTTTCTGTGCCAGCATTATAGGGCTCATTATTTTACCTAGCATTCTTCATCCTTTTGTGCGGGTGATTAATGAATTAACATGACACAAGAAATAAATAAATTTTAAAAAGCTGTAACTTCACAAAGCACTGCAGAAGGCAGTAGCCAGACACCAGTATCCCTGCATTACAGACATTCCAATTTGTTAAGCATAAAGCACTTGTACTAGGGAACCAAGTTCAGGAGGAGCTGTTTATTTAAAATACTAGGCCAAACTTTTCAAAAGTGTCTAGCAATTCTGGGGAGTCCATTTTTGGGTGCCTGCTTGAGACACCTTAAAGGTGCCTGGTTTTCAGAAAGTGAGCAACCAGCACTTCCGGGGGAAAAAAGGATTCCTTTAAAGTATCACAAGGTGGGCACCCAATATCACCACAGGTTTTGAATATATAGGTCTTAGGGCCCAATTCTACCATCAGATACATGATACAATTCCATGGGAGAAAAAAACTGAGGAGTAAATGGATTGGAGCCCTTTGGGAACTGCACCCATGTATTTGAAGGCAGAATTGGCCTTAAGAATTACCTCCCCATACCTTGTGATGGTAGAATAGTTTCCGATTGTTTCCCAAATTCCTGAACATTTCCTGCAAATCCCTTCAGTAAACTACTATACTGCAGCTGTACCCAATTCCGATTGCTTAATACATTTGAACTCCAGTTTATCATTTTAAACTAGTTTGAATGCTGAACTGAACAAGTAACAACTGCAATCATTATAAACCTAATCTCAAGTAGACAATGTGAATTTTTAATAATTGTATTCACACAGATTGAGCAATTCACACATCCATGGGTTGGGTGTCAGGAAAGCAATGTTCAGAAAAAGTGGGTGAAATCTTGACATTGTTCATGCCAATAGCAAAACTCCTACCAGTTTCAATAGGTCCTTTCACCCAAGGTGTTTAGAAGACTCAGACAGGTTAGACCCAAACTATACATTTTAGACAATTGCTACTGGCAGCCAGATGGGTGATCAGTCCTTTTTCAAAGAAAAAAATAAAATAAAAACACACACATACACACAGATCCTCCAACATCAGTGACATGGAGAAATAAAGTATGGGAAATCCTTTCAATGGAAAATACGACAGCCTAGGATCAAGACATTTATAATGTATGGTTACCATTTTTGGAGTTTGAACCAAAAAAATTTTTTAAAAATAAATAAATAAACCACCAAACAATAAGACATTGACTAAACACAAATGTGTCTTTTAATGATAACAAACACAGGTTATAAATCAGATTTGTTAATACTTGTATGGAAAATTCATGTATGTTAAGGATTTTTTAAAATAGCTTTATGAGGAGAAAAATATATTTTTCAACATCAATGTGGGTAGTGTAAAGAGACTCATTCACTATTATGGCAATGCTATGTTAAATAAAGTGATCAATCAATCTATAAGGTCTCACTTAACAAAAGCTCACTGTTATAATGATCATTATTTTGTCTCTGATATTTACATGGCAAGGATTTGTAAACCTGTTAAAACCCCCTAAATAAATAAATAGTTAAACAAAGAAATGTTTTGTGTCTGCCTGCAAAATATTCCCCTTTACTTCTTGCAACACAACCATTGGGACAGTGGGCTGCTGCACACAGACCAGAATGTGCCCAAAATGCAGGAACTGCACACAGTAAAAATGGTGAAAAATAACATGGATTGTTTCAAATAATTTCAGGTTTAGTCATTTATGCTGTTGTAAACATAAGAGTAAAATCGCCCCTTTCTTTTTACGTTACACAGACACACCCTCATTTTGGGTGGGCTATTCAAAAGCACTCCATGTTAGCTGTACTCTGCTCCCAATGTGAAAACTCCCATTGACTTCCAGAGAAGCCGACTCAGGCCAACGCCAAGCACTCCAACCCTTTATGTTTGTACAGCACCTAACAGAGACCCCAATCCCGATTGGGGCGCTTGGATGCTACCACGCTATGAATAATCTCACAGTGTCCCATTAGGAACGACTCGATAGTGAAGTTTTGTATGTATGTGAAGTCAGAGAATGCAGTTTAAAATGATTTTTATCTTTTTTCAAGCATGTGAGGCACATACAGGCCCTCACAGACAGACACTAAATGGCTCAAGAAAGGTCAGATTTGCAGGATTGTTATGCTTGAAACCATTCCACTATCAATTATGTTAAAGCATGAAGGATGGGTCTGCCTGGAACCCAGGAAGGCCAGGCAAGGAACTCCGCTGTGTCTCAGAACCACACAGCAGACAATTTCCCCCCAAGGTAGCAACCAAGGACCTAATCCTGCAAGACACTGAGCACCTTCAACTTTCCCTGACTTCAGTGGTTGCTGAGGAGGTTCAGCATTTCACAGGCGGTGCTCAGCACCCTGTAGGACTGGGCAGCAAGGGGAAAACAGAAGTTTGTTTTCTGCGGAGCTCTCCATGCTCCAGCCCACACTGAATTTCCAAGCGCTTACAGCTCAAACCATGCAATAATACTTTCAAACCCAACTCTCTGTGTGCTCAGACAGACAGGGAACCTACAGGCAGTGCCACGGGGGAGGTGGGGGGGGGGAAGGTGGCTGCAGAGGCACTATGCCTATGGGGAATGACTCCAGGGCACTGGGCAGCAAGCGCTTCTTTGCAAATAGCTCCACAGGCACCATCCAGTAAGACCGGCTCCTCACCAAGACACACATCTCTGAGGCTACTAGTGCTGACGGCAGAGCTGGTTGGCCTCCCCCACTTCTGCTCCCAAAGCACAAGCCACCTGTTACAGCTTCCTGAGCCCTCTCAACCTCTTCCTCCCAATGCACCCAGGCTGCTCAGACCTGGATTTGGCCCTTCATGCTGTGACAGAATTCAGTTCACACATTCAAGGGTAACATTTGTTGTTTGTGATACGCCAAGCAAAGCAGGCACCTCGGGCTGAAAGCCTCTTACAATAAAGCCTGGAAGCAAAACAGATTAGTAGAAGTTAAATAGCTTAACTCCAGACAGGCCACTCTTCAACTTTCTTCTCAGCTCCGCAAAGCTGCCAGGGAAAGACTGTTAACTAGAGCAAACAAGAGACACATGGATGCCCTGGACAGGTAACACTGAGACAAATATTTCCCATGTAGGTCTGAAAACCAATATAACGCAAGAGACCATAGTAAATGGTGGGCCAGCCTCTCCAGTCTCTTAGGGCAAACCCTGCCGAGAATTCACCTTCTCCACTACCAGAAGAGAGGTAGAAGCAGCTTTATGAGTCACCCTCCTATTCCAGCAGAAAGAGAAGGAAGGGGCATGTTGGAGGATGGGGCGGGAAAAAGGGGTAGGGTTGCCAGGCATCCAGTTTTCGACTGGAACGCCCAGTCGAAAAGGGACCCTGGTGGCCCCGGTCAGCACCGCTGACTGGGCCATTAAAAGTCCAGCCAGTGGCGCAGCAATGCCAAGGCAAGCTTCTTGCCTGCCCTGGCTCTCTGCCTGCCCCGGCTCCGTGCAGCTTCTGGGAGCAGCCGGCATGTCCCTGTGGCTCCGAGGCACAGGGGCCACCATCGAGACTCTGTGCGCTGCCCTCACGCCAAGCGCCAGCTCCGCAGCTCCCTTTGGCCGGGAACCCTGCGGACAGGGGCAGCACGCAGAGTCCCCCCGGCCGCCTCTGTGACTCGGGGCCAGAGGGACATGTTACCACTTCTGAGAGCTTCCTGAGCCCCCTTCTTCAC